CATCTCCCAAGGCCCAACAGTCCCCTTAAATTCACTCAAGCTGCATCAAACTTCACAAACTCAATCAGTTGCCTTAATGTGCCTGGTTTTACTGGTTTTATTTCCATCAAGATCCATGAATTATTCTCTTGGAAAACCATGAAAATGTTGAAAAATCTCACAATGTAGGAGAAAGTGGGGAAAAAAGGTCACGTATCCATCCCCTGATTCAGATCCGCACCAGAATTTCATGGTTTCTTTCTTGGTTTCTCTTCTTTCCTTTTCCAAGTTTTGTGGAAATCCGTTCAGTTGTTTCAGTTTAATCTTGCTCACAAACAAACATGTCAAACGGGCAGGGGTGAAAACCTCTTGGTCGAGGTAACAATGGTGCATGTCTGTCATTTCTATCCTTGATTCTTTTTCGTGGCGTCTGTGACAGATTTATTACTTACATCATCAGCTCAGAAAAATCACCAATTAGAATAATGGCAGTTACAAGAAAGCTTTTCCTCCCCTCATTCATTTAATAGGTAATCTTCCTCCAGCTCCTGCCAAGTCTGTTTCAGAATGTTGTGTCATGATTTGGTGTTGACAGGCCGTGCGCTCCCCTGGGTGCAGGCTAATTTAAAAAGCAGCCATAGAGTAGCAGATGCCAGATTAATGTCAAAGGGAAAGTGACTGATGAGGAGCCTCCCAGTCGCTCGGTCACATGCTGGCACTGTTGCACATATGACAAGCTCCGGCTTGAAGCCCCTCAGTGCCTTGTAATAAATGAGCGAGGCGGTTCTACGTACTCAGCTTCTATTAACCAAGGGTTAAATTATACTGCGGAGACATTTATGCTGCCTCTTCTACTTTTGTGGTGAGGTATATGTTTTTTTTATGTATCCACATGCAGCACCATACCTCTTTGACTCTGTGACAGTAATTTAATTTGAGTGGCGAATAATTGTATTACTTCCATCAATATGGGTAGTTTGTTCTGCAACACAGCCACAAACGTAATGTGCCCATAGAGAATGAGGGCCCTGAATGGCACGAACAATTACATGCTATTGATTAACAATTATTTGTATCGCAGAGGACTCACCTAAATTTGAAAACAGATTATGGGAAAATCGTGGCGCAGTTGTGCTTGTCACATCTCGTATAAATCCAAGAATAGAATAAGCACTTTACGTTTAAAATATGTGCTGTCTCTTTATGTCCTCTGAAAAAAAACGGTCTAAAAAAGCCAGTTCTTTTCTGAGTTCTCATTCAGTGCCATGACTCAAGGCCGTTCAGGTGCCGGTGCTGTTGTTGTAGTTTGATTGACTTAGGACTGTAGGACAGCCCAGAGACGACTGCGACGCCCCAAATCCTCATGAGAACACAATTACAAAAACACTGTTGTCTTATTCAATATCAAGCAGCTTTACTTTACCTACAGGGAAATGACACATCGATGTGACGCGTAAAAATGAGCACTGCATGTAAGTGTGTCTGCTGTGATCTCGTGTTTGAAAGGAAGGAACACACAGACGTACATACTTATCACTAGTTGCATTGCTATTGGCAACCTCAGGTGTTACACAATGAACGCACAAAATTCTGAGAACACTCTATGTACAGGGTTATTTAAAGTCATTATTCAAGCAACATTGAAGGGGATAATTGTCCAAAATCCTTCATTTTTGCTTACTTTTCAAGAAAGTGGGATGTTTTTGATTTAGAAGTACATGTTGTACATGCTCCAGCTTGAAAATAAGACATTTATATGTTAATATATACATCAAACCAGCCCAGCTGTCTGTTTGTAATATTTATGTCTGTTTTCTGGTGGGAGACACTGCCAGTCATCATGTATAATCTGAGTGTAAAAAATAAATAATTCACAGTTTCTGTGTCAAAATGCCAGAGAATTAGTATTTCAATCAATTCTTATAAATATTATTTTATAAATCCTCACTCTTCAACCTTTTCAACTGATTTCAGACCAGGGAAGTTTCAATAATTTGCATGTTTACAGACATTTTCTCATTGAAGCACCATTAAACTACAAAGGTGGTGTAAATAAGCACTCCAAAGCTCAACCCATATTAAATTTGTAGTTATATGAACACAATTTCAGGACTTGATTACTTTGACTATTTTAAAGCTGGTGAACAATTTTCTTTTTTAAATGTCCACATCTACATGATTAATAAGCAGGGCGTTGTCTGCAAATGTTTGATGATAAGAGCTGCACACTAGCTGATACATAGCATGAAGGTGTCTTGGTATACATTTGTGAACTTGGTTTACCTCATCGTGTCAAATGCATCTATATTTGGATCTTGGTTTAAAAGAATGACAGCAGAGACCTGCAGGTCCACCTCACATTTTCCAGACAGAAGAAATATATAGTAGTTTGCAAAGAAGAGTAATTTAATATCCAAATATGAAGAGACGGCTAAAGAAGGCACTTCAAAAGCTAAATGTCTTGAGGTTGGCAAGTCAGAATTGATCGATCTAGTTATTAAGAGTCAATATTTTTTTTGTTAAATTTAACAAATTTAATTTGATGATGTACTGTAGTGGAGACTGATGCTCAAATCATTCTGCTTCATGTAGATCCACAGACTGTTTGCTTGAATCAGAGTGAACCTGGCTGCCAGTGATTGAATTGATGAATTGATGTACACCCTCACGGTCCTAAAACTGCCTCTGGGCTGTGCCCCAAGTGTTGTAAATTCCTAACACCGCCCCTGCTGTTCACACACTATTCTTTCCCTATTTGTTAGGGGAATTAACTGTGAAGCGCCAGGCATGGGGATGTGCGGAGAGTGAGAGAGATGAGAATGACCCTAACGTATTAACTCTATTTGTTATGTGGCTGGTGAGCTCATGCAGTGGGGTTGGGTGGGTTTTTGTGATGAGGGTCGAGGTCTCTCATTTTCACTGATAGAGGGCTCAGACATTGAGGGAAGGACCAAAGCGTGGTGAAATTCAGTCAACTTCAATTACAGCCCCTTGTAGTTTTCCCAAAGGCACACTATAGTGCTTTTAAGGGGGAATCAATGAGGTGACAAATTGTTGTGGACAGCAACCCCTTTTATTTGTTACGCTGTTGTGTCCATGCCTGGATGGGACTCAAACAGCGTGCATGTGCGAGTATTGAGGTGTGCGTTTGGCATATATAGATGTGCAACACTTTTCATTTATGATAATTGAATGCTTTGGTCCATTTGTGTATTGGTGCGTTATTTTCTGCTTGTTATCTGTCAAAACCTATTTTTAAATGCTTCCTAATGACTGCTCACATGTATCAGCTCCTGAGGCTCGGAGACGCTTTGTGTTTAATATCACAATAACGGTGTTAAGGGTTTTTCTTAAGGTTATTTGTGCTTTGTCAAGTCCCTGTCATATCTGTACTCGTCTGACGGCTGATGTGGGGTGATTCGCTCGAGTACACAGAGAAACATATGTTGTCGCTGAATTGTTTTTAATGATGGAGGGAGCCCACATGAAGCTGCTTGTCACCAATATACTTTCTGCTTGAACAGCTCAGGAAATTGGATAAACACCAGTGTTGGACGTATGGCGGAGCTGAGCAATACAGCTTTAGGTTTAGAGGAGTCACAGGGAAGTAAGAATTTATCAATAAACCTTTACACTTCCACAAAATGAGTTTAAAGATTATTTGATTTGAGAAATGCAAATTAATTACCTTCGCCAAGGAGGTTATGCTTTTGTCTGCGTTTGTTTGTTCTGGCATAATTATGCAAACACTACTTAGACCATTTTCCCAGGGTTCACGTACTTTAACATTGTGAGATATTACGTTTTTCAACATGTTCATATGAGTGTGTGCAAGTTGGTGAAGTTTGATTGGATTTAAGATTTGAGGTGTGTGTTCTACTGAGTGCCTTCCAGTTCAGATTGTGACCCGCATCTCCATTAAGTCTTAGGAATAACTACTCAAACATGTTAAATACTCTGAGCAAGTGTGTGTGAGTTAAAAGTCTCTACTGAGTTTATAAAAGTCTATTGTGATGACTTGTGTTTGAACAAAGGAGGCCTAGCTGTGTGTTTGTACCGTGCATCAATCCAACAAGTAATGAATCTAATTGGCAGCTGACTGCTTTGGTCCATTTTATCTGTGTAAAGCTGAAATGTATATCAGTCAGTGTTTGTGTAGCCTGTGCTTTGTGTTAGAGAAAAGGCTTTGTATAGTTTGCTCTTGCTCAGTGGTCAGGTTTATACTGTAAGTGTGAGTGTGTACTGACTTTAAATTACCTGGTGAAACTAATGCCTGTCACATAATTACTCTAGACTTGCCGTAGGATATATTTCTATGTCATGCAGTGTATAGAGTGCTTTCATATCATATTGTTTTATGTATGTGCGCTTTTTTAAAAAGATTCTGTGAATGTGACGTCTGATCAGTGAAGCTCATGTCAAGTTACTATTCTGATGTGCAACTTGTACAAACAGCATGTGATTTCTCTCATGCTTGTCTGTTTGGGCTGCTGTGGTCTATGACTGCATTTTGATATAGCAGAGAATTTGTAGTCCTGTTACCTTGATCACACAGACACAACAGCATGAGATAAGAGAAACAGTTTGTGTCTACAGGAGAAGCAGAGCAGTTATTCAATTGTATGATAAAGCAGTGATGGAATACATTATCAGCAAGCACAAGAAAGACCTTTGCTTGGTATGATAGGTATGACAGGCCCAAAAATAGCAGTAGTGTGCATGTAATTTCTGTATAAATATATTACCAGTGAAGTCTAATGCTTTGCTGCAATCTACCTTTGTTCTCTGGCTAAGGTAGGTGCTCACCTGCTGGTCATTGGAGTCATTGGAGTCCAGCTGTACCTCTAAATGTACTTCTATCACTTTCCAGCTCAGCACCTTTCTCCAAATGTCTGCTTTTATTATTAATCCAGCAATTTTGAGACATTCTTCATCATTTTTCTCTGACAGGTTCCCAACAGGCACCAAAAAGGCCCCGTGATTTTAATGCAGCACATTTTTTTCTTTTTATGTCTCCGCAGGAAAGGAAGAGTACGTCGCAACCTTCAAAGGATCTGAGTTCTTCTGCTACGACTTGTCCTTGAACCCGATTCAAAGCAGCAGTGATGAAATCACATTGTCATTCAAAACCCTGCAGAGGAACGGACTGATGCTGCACACGGGCAAATCAGCTGATTACGTCAACCTGGCACTGAAAAATGGGGCTGTTTCACTCGTCATTAATTTGGGGTCTGGAGCCTTTGAAGCTCTTGTGGAGCCAGTCAATGGGAAATTTAATGACAATGATTGGCATGATGTCAAAGTAACAAGGAATCTACGTCAGGTAACAGTACAGAGGATGATGCAGAGACTCAGTAAATGAATCCAAACAGATGCACTTTAATCATTACCATCATACAATATTTTATTTTTCTGACCAGACATTGTAATTGGATTGCTAAATTGAATTATGGTGGTTTGTGGTGGAGATAAAATAGAACCACAAGTGATACAGGGACTTCTAGATGTGAATCAAGAACTCTATTAAGTTACAACGGGGAGCAGAAAGGAATTGCATTCAGCCTCATTCAGACAATTCACAACAAAGAGTATGACCTTTATTTAGTTTTACCTTATATATATACCTGTGTAGTACTATGACGAAGATACCCTGACGATAGACCTCAGTTCTCACTGTTTTTAGTATCTTTATGTGGAATTGACTGAACTCAAATGCCAGTGCAGTTAAAATAGATTTTTAGTTTTTATAAGCACGTTGCTATTTTGGATGACATCACTGTTGGGAGATTATTTCACAAGACAGTTTTCATGAAAGAGCAGTCAATGAATAGGAACAATTCTGACAACTTATTCTTCATAAGAGATCTGTTTTGTAAACATTATACAGTGTACATGCGGAGGGTTATGCTTTCTATTCAAAGTTCAGTGAACAAAGGCAAATCACTCCAACTGGATATACAGGCTCTAATGGGCTCTTCTACATGGCCTTGACGACCCATCTCTGCATTTATAACTCTAAAGAGACTATGTAGTGACAGCCCGTCTGGGTCAGACAGCAAAAGATTTCTTATGAATTCAACCTCCCGTTCCATTTAGCAGCTTGTGCCTCTTACATTACTTTACATCAGAGGACGGTCCCTTCAAGCCATCCCACTGATTGTGCCATGTGCCTCTGGCAGTGCTGCTCATAAGTGGGGGACTAGACAGGGTATAAACAGAAATGGTTCATGGCTGATTCTCACCAAGAGCAGAGGAATCAGCTTGGATGAAAGAAAGGTGTAAAGCAGAGTCCTTGGCGATGTCCAAATGCATCCATCTGCAAGAACAGTTTGTCCTGGCTGGGGGTGAAGCTGCAGAGATCAGTTAGGGTTTGTTGCATTGCAAGCAGATTGACTCATACTAATTTGTACCATGCCAGCATCAACTAAATGGAGTCCAGATGCAGCTGCCTCTCAGCAAATGGCAGAAAACACAGGATAGTTCAACAGTTCTAGACTGGTTGGCCCACGATTGATCTGAAGACACTGAAAGCTTGCTGCAGCACACATCAAAGCATTCAGTGGCTCTGCAACTCTAACAACAATGCCAATCGATGTCAGCCACCACTCAGTCTTAGGTTGGAATTTCACATCCCTGCTGGCTAAAAGTTGCCACCACTATAACAGGATCATGAACACTGCTTCCATTTACAGTAGGTTGATGTGTTTTGACTCATTCTGGTCAGGGAGTCTATTACAGTAGGTTATTGGGTGTTCTTAGTACGTAGCCAAATGCCACAGGCTGAGGTATTCAGGATGTTATCATTGGTGCACAAAGCACTGCTACATGTGTCTCATGAAGAAAACTGTCACTAGCACCTACTGGCAGTTGGTCCAGATCACTTACCAAAGCCAGAAGGACATGAAGGTCATTGTATCATGGAGTTGATAGGGAAAGACATATTGAATCAGGATTAGGTTTAGCATGTCTAGGTGTTGACCATAATTAAATATGTTTAATTAATTATCTCACACAGGCTGTGGCCTGCAAAGAGTATAGTGTCAACTTTTCCCAGCATACATGTAGATACTGTTTAGCCCATGTACAGACTTTTTTCAGTTAACACAACAGTGTCAAACTAATTCTAGACCAGACTTTAAAAAACAACATCTCTACATTTGTTCCTGCTCATTTGGTGGGAAATGTTTGTCTCCACCTCACTACCAGAGCTGTTTCTTTTGCATAATTAGCCAATTGATTATTGGAAAACCCAAGGAGCTGGCCAGTTTGAACATTCACTGCATTCAAATTGTGAAAGACAACCAAGCATATTGAGTGCATGCTCTGTGGGGGAATCCAAATTACCATCCTCCTCATTTTGTGTCAGGGTCTTCTTTGCTTTGTCTCATTGCAGTAAAGTGATCCTAAAGTTCATCAATAAGACCAAACGGAGGTACAGTATTGTATGGACGACGGAAAGTCTGATACGCTGGATTGGTCTCAAGAATAAAAAACAACTAAAATATGTTGCAAGATAATATAATACCAATAAATACTAATAAAAGAAACAGCTTTAAATGGTCTTGAACTTAGGACTGTTAAGAGGGTCAACTGATGTGCTTTAGGCATTCCTTCTTATGAACCATTTGGTGTCTGTCAATCATAACCTTTTGTTAGGACTTGGGTAAGGGACATTCTGCTACTCAGTGGTCTGATAACATACAGAACATGGTGCAAAAACACCATGAGAGAACTTAGGGAGTCACTGATCGAGCTCTGGTACCTCTTGTGGAGCTCTCTTGTTATTTCCTGGGTCTGCTTTTTTCTTGTTAAACTTATTTTGCCCTTTTTTCCTCTATGTTACTAACATGCTTTGGAAACAAACTAACATCATTCATGGAATGTGCCATTCTACTAACCAGTATGGTTTTTGCCGTTTAACAATGTACTAACTAACAGTATTGACCATCATATATTATTTGAGTAACAATCGTTATTCTGTTCACAGTTTTTAATTTCCTTTCTCCCCCCTTTTCCACAAAGCACTCAGGCATTGGACACGCTATGGTAAACAAACTACATTGTTCGGTAGATATCATTCTAATTGTTTCTTAGTTTGGGTTTGCCGTGTGTTTCTTTTCTTTCTTTTTTTACTGTAGACGTCATTTACAAAAAAAGGGAAATTGCGGTTGGTACTCTTCTGCTTACTTTTCGAATCCTTTTTAATTTCTCGGTTCATTCATTTGTTTCGCCCTCTTTATTTCACTTGTTTCCTGTCCAATTCTGTTTGATCCACCTTTTTAGGAGCATCATTTCGAGCCTTTTGCATCAAGCTGTGGTTAATAATGAGGACCGTCTCCTGTCTGGCTGGCCTGATGCTCTTTGGCTCAGCCAGTTGTATCCCCATTCACTTTGCATGGCATGCACTTTGACTACGTGTTGCAAATGCCATGCTGCCCATTTGTCAAAAACAATGTGACAGTTGAGCTGTGTGTGTGTCTTTGGTGCTTCTCTGGTGTTTTTTATTTCTCTTTGTGGTTTTGCAGTGTCTGACACTGTGTGAAAATTCTGACCACATATCCCAATCAAGCATTTGGGAACATTTTCTTTTTGTATGCTTGTGAACAAAAAGAAAAAACAAATGCCTGCATGTTTTTTTTGTTTTACTAGTACCCTCAGTCATTGTCCTGTACTGAAAGGTGACTACTTTTCATGGCATGTTTTCCCTCTCTAACCCAGTGGCACGTTCTGATTTCATTTGTAGAACTGCTGGAAGAACTAATACGGAATTAATAGTTAAAACTAACCTAGATAACATTCTACTAACACCATTTTTGTGTCTACTAAAGTACTTTTAAGTTGCAGTAGGGGCAATACTAACACTGTAGTATGGGCAGTTCACTAACTCTAACAAGAATTTCTTTTGAAGGCTTGCAGTCTTCCTACTAATCAAACTGGACAAAATAATATTTGAAAACAAGAAAAAAGAGAAAGAAAAAAAACAGACATGAAAATGGGTTTCAGAGAAATAATAGGGAAGTCTATCATAGACGACAAGAAGAAAAGGCAATGGTGTTGTAGTGTATAGGCTGTCTGAGTATAGCACGTCTTTTCCCTGTGCTTTTTTGTCTAGGTAACAATATCCGTGGATGGGATTCTGACCACCACAGGATATACACAAGAAGACTACACCATGCTAGGCTCTGATGACTTTTTCTATGTTGGAGGGAGTCCTAGCACAGCTGACCTGCCCGGATCTCCGGTCAGCAACAACTTCATGGGCTGCCTCAAGGAGGTAAACACTGCTTCTTGTGTGCACTCTGAGGCTGGTGGGTGTGCAGGATATGACTGGCTTCACCTTAGGACACCCAAATAGGCACATCCACCCACACACTGACCCTGTCTCATCATTTACACTTTGCTTTAGTTAGTTTCACCTCCTTTCCCTCATATGCTCTCACAGAAACTTTATTTTGCCTCTGCCACCCCCTCAGTGCAATGATAATATTATACACACACACATGCACATGGAGGCACACGCTGTGTCACGCAACCACACATGCCAAGCTCAGTCTTGCAGTGAACTTGACCACAGGCTTCAAACAGATCGGTCAGGTGCACTTCACAAATGCTGTAGCCTACGTGTAGACGTGTACCCTTTGCAGAGCCCTATGCCATACCCTGAGGTGCACCTCCCCAAAGAGAGCACTAAAAAACAGACATTGCTGTACCTCACTGTTTTCACGTATACTCTATGGTGTCTGAGCATTTTGTATCTTGGGGGTTTCATGATGTAATGAGCCATTTGGTCTTACAATCTGTCATTTGTCACTTAAAACTGTATTTATGTGTTGTAGTACATAAGGTGTATACCCGTACATTATCCATACCGCTAATCCAATGTCTTTGGACTGTGGGAGGACAATATGCAAACTCCACACAGAAATACTACTGGCTATCTATATTTCATCTCTAGAGATGGGACAAGAGGAGAAAAGAAAGAGGTCATTTTTTGTGGGTTCTTAAGTTATTCTGTTCCCTTGAATCTGTTAATGTTGTTTAACGTGGATTCTGACCTAAATCCTTTACCTAAGCACACAAGTATAGCTGTATAAATCTCTGTACTACAAAAATGAGCCATTGCTCTTTATGTTTTTTTTCAAAAGCTATTTCCCCTTTTCCTCGTGTCTCTCCCCTATTCTTTTTCTTTTGTTGCTCCTCTTGCTCCTTTGGTGTCCTACATTTTGTCTCTCACCTCAAGCGCAGGCTATCGTCCTCAGTGACCCTCTGTGAGATGTCTTAGACAGCTCTGCTTAATGAGCAGGCAGGGTGTGGACCACATGTCCACCCGCCATGTACTGCTCATTAGAGGTCTGCTTGTTAAGGAGACTTGTCTTAGTCAACTACGTGTCTCTGAGATGCTGTAGAAATGGGACTGCGGCACCCCAGGCATGGAGATCCACCCCACTGAGCTGCCTTTGCTGCTGCACATCAGCCTAACCACAGTGGCTGGTATCGCTATCCTGAGATCAATTGCTCAAAAACTTTTAAATATGGTGCAGAGCTGTGATAGTTCCCAGGAGACGTGAGACAGACTTAGTTTCCCCTCTTTTATTCACTCATGGGATCGTTTAATATCCCTTATTTAGTTTTACAGGACAAGTCCAGATGTCAATACCAGTTTTTCTAAGAGAAAGCTCATACACTGTAAAATCCATAACTGCTATATCACCTACTTGGCTTTAATTCATCTCTGACGTTTTTAGTGCGTGAACAAACTCACTGCATCACGTCATCTGGCCTGTTAAATTAAACACATGCCCTGTCTCGGGTCAGCTCCTGTGTATTGCGTGATAACATATCAGCGTGCGCTGCGGGCGCTGATTGATGGCGTGATCCCGAGTGGCTTGTTGCAGTGTTTGTGTGCAGATTCCAGTCTGGGTTGCCACGCCCGCCTGTTGGTTCTTCTGATGGCGAAACAAACGCTGGTGCAGTAATAGCTCAGCTGTCACAGCCCGAGCTTGATGACAAATTAGTGCAGCATTACTAGTGCAGCTCCAGTCGTAGCTCACACCAAAGCTCCTTTGACTCTGAAAGGTGCCCTTTGTCTTGACTATAAAGAATTGATTTTGGTTTATTGGCTGTATCTTTCGCACCTTTAGTCGACATGACGAAAGTCCAGCAGGTAGAGATATCACCATTTCTGTCACTTTAACATTCTTTACAGCGCCGTCAGAGGATTATGGTCAAATCATCTTTATTACTCCATTTCCAATCTATTCTGCTCATTGTCAGACTCGAGAACAAACTGTCCTGTACATTTTTATGTAAGGGGAGATAATGATGTGAGAATAAAAGCTCGCCATTATCCACTTCCTGTTGTCTTTGCAGTTAAATGCAGCCTGATAGAGTCAGTCACAAAGCATTTACAATCTATAAGCCTGAGCTCGCTTAATTCTGAAGCTCCGCTATGAGCTCCATCTACCCGAAGAGTCGACACAATAGATCTGACTCAGTGATATACAAAATTGCTCCATGCAATTGCAATCCCATCGGAGGTGTCCTGTTTTTCAGGTGAGCGAGTAGCATGACAGCAAATAAAGAACATGGCCACTGTTTTCCGCAGCTGTAACTCACGTGATGTGGCCCGTTGAAAGCAATATAGATTCACCATTACAACTCTTTGTTATGTAAATACATATACAGGCTTTAACTATAATGGGGCCGTCCATCACCTCATAGACTTGCTTAGCAATTAGGAGTGTTAGAATGCTGTGGAGAGCTGAATGACTATGGAGTTGTTAAATATTAGTTTATCCCTCTCCCTGGTGCTCTATTGGCAGCTTTGTGTTTTCAAGTCTCAGGTATTTGCTTTGCAACTTCAGCTACAGCTTTTTAAAATGCTTTTAAATTGCACTTTTCAATGGTGAGGTCTTTTTAAATATCGTGTCCACTCTGACATTTTAATATAAAAATAGGTGACATCCACTAAAATGTTAATTTGTCTCTGATGTGGAAATTAGAGGTAGCTAGACAGAGGGATCCTCCAGCTGCAGTCACACCAGATACTTCTTCACGGCAGAGATTGGATGATGATGAGGTTAAGGCTGCCTCTAATTTCTGTAAGATTGCTACCAATATAGTAGCACTTACTCCTAAACACACACACACACACACATTGTGGCTGCTACGTCTGCGGTTTCATCAATATTTTGAAGAATTATTCAGGAGCTGTGTTTAGAGCAGAATTTGATATGCATCTTATAGTGTCTTCATTAAACAATGAAATAGGAGATTTAAATGGGCAGTATGGTGGTTTAGTCATTAGCACTGACACCTGTGTCTCTGTTGGTTTTCTCTGGGCACTCTGGCTTCCTGCCACAGTCCAAAGACATGCAGAGGTTAATTGGAGACTCTGAATTGACTGTAGGTGTAAATGTGAGCATGACTGCTTGTTTGTCTCTGTATGTTGGCCCTGCGTGCACTGGCAACCTGTCCAGTACCCCGCCTCTCACCCAATTGGCTCCAGTCTCCTCCCACACAGCCCTCAACAGATACGGGTACATCTGAAAAGATTCTCAGTCATAGAGGTCATGGTATCTTTAGTTCACATTTTCACATGATCAACTCCTGAAGATAAGGGGTGAAGATAATGGATGGCTAGATGGATGTTTTAAACACAAATGGATTTAACTAGTGAAAACAATGCTAAACAAAGAAATTATCAAGGTATCACATGGGTCAGCTAATGCCAGTGCTGTACCATATGACAAGGATCCTAATCCATAACTGATAGTTTAACACATCACATTATGACACATTTCTTTTGTAATGGGCTCTTTTTGCTCCTCAGCTCTGCAGCACTTGGTACCTCAAAGGTCACAGCACTTATGCACTTCATCTAAGAACCATGTGTGGTTTACAGTGTCTGAGAATATGAACCAACACTGATACAAAAATTAGCTGACTATCAAATTTCGGATTTGTTTAAATAAAGTACACTGAATGTGTATGTGTATGCTCATGCATTGTTTTTTAATTTTTTTTCTTTAGAGCGGCGTATCCCTTGCTTGCCCACTTTACTCCTAATAACAGGGTCCAACAGGGGCCTTGATCAGCGTTTTACTCCGCACCTGCAAACAAGACAGCAGGGCAGATTCATCATTTCAATAGATACTCCCTGATGGAATCATTTCCTCCAGCCCTAATTGCTATTGTCATTTAAATTCAGATGTTTCATCCTTTAGCAGACAGTCGAGCTAAATGTCAAAAAGCAATGTGTCAACTATTTACACTTCACCCAGCCAGTACAGTGTGCGTGTGTTGTGAAGGTTTCAAATAGGGGGGAAGAAAAACAGGATGATGCAAGTGACATTTGGTGAACACTGAAAAGGTGCAGGTGCCGGACGAAAAAAGAAAACTCTTCATTCCAAAGAGAAGGCTGCACTGCTGTGCTCGTATCGTACTTTTCTGTAGACAAAAAAAGTGTTTCGTTGTATTTATTTGTTTGTCAATAGTGACAATCTGTAACCAAACCAGATACCAATTTAGAATTAATACATTTTAAAAGATAAATTAATTTAAAAAAGCTAATATTTATAAACTTTTAAAAAGTAGAAGTTAACTGTATGTAGGTATAAATAAATTACATTTAGTGCCAGGTGAACATCTGAAGCTGCTCTGCAAACAATAACAACTGCTTTTTTCAGAGGCAGCTCATTTATTTTTGAAAGCAATTATACATAACATCTAGACATGCTGGCAAGTATAACAAGGTCCAAGCAGCTTGGCACAATTCACTGATCCAGTGCAATTAAAAAGCCATGAGCTTTGAGCAATAGGTGCTTTTACAAAGTCTTGAATGTATGTTTGCAGCTTGGCTGGCCTTTGGAAACCTCAGACAGTGCACTCTGCCAAGATCTGGTTTATTCCAGGACAATTTTACTGTGTCTGGACCAAAATATCTGAATCTCATTCCTGAGTGATGAAGTTTTGGATTTCTTTCCATTTTGTTTGTCAGTACAGCTGAGCTCAACATGATACAACAATCTGAATCTGAATAAGAAAGTTTGGGATAATTTCACATTTACATTCTGCAAACAGGACAATATGTCAGTCTTTTACATTGTAGGCGGGATACAGTATGTTACTGTGTTTATGACTGTAGAATTAACTTTCTCTTTCCACTCTAATTCAGGTTGTGTACAAAAACAATGATGTGAGACTGGAGTTGTCCAGGCTGGCCAGGCAGGGTGACCCCAAGATGAAGATCCACGGTACCGTGGCCTTTAAGTGTGAGAACGTGGCCACTCTGGACCCCATCACCTTCGAGACGCCAGAGTCTTTTATCATCCTCAACAAGTGGAACGCCAAAAAGACAGGCTCCATCTCCTTTGACTTCCGCACCACAGAGCCCAACGGCCTTCTCCTCTTCAGCCATGGCAAGCCAAAGCAGCAGGCGAAGGATTCCAAGAACCCTCAAACCCTCAAGGTGGACTTCTTTGCCATTGAGATGCTGGACGGCCATTTGTACCTGCTGCTGGACATGGGCTCTGGAACCACAAAGACCAGGGCAGTCAATAAGAAAGTCAATGATGGCGAATGGTACCATGTGGACTTCCAGCGAGATGGCAGATCAGGTAACTTTAAAGTGATCATGTACAATCTTCAGATGAAGAAGATGTCAGATTTGGGCTAAAACACAAGCAAATGTAGAAAACGCACTCAATCTGACCGCATATATGTTTTCTTTAGCTGCGTTCAGGGCCGCTGATCATGAATAGTTGCACGTCTGTTGTTGTGATGATGACTGGTAGTCTGTAGTGTAAATATCTTTCATAGAACACATATATGCTCTACAACATGAAGCAGAATCCTAGAGTAGGAGCTCTGCTGTGCGCCGAGTCGATCAATTATTTAAGTGCAACAAAAATACTGCTGTGGTGTCACAGTTAACTTTTCTGTGGAATACCACATTACTAGTGAAAAGTAAACATTTCTTCACATTACACCTTCATTGTAAACATCTAAAGACATTTTATATCAAAGTTTTTGACTGAATATTTGGGAGCTGATATCAATACAGATCTGGTGCCGATTAAAAGAAAATGGCATTGATTCCTAAGATGTTATTTTCAAACCCTCATAAAACGGAGATGTAATTGAGGTTTTATATTTTACAGTTTAACCATAAAGTTCATGAGAAATAATTGTAAATAAAAAGTAAACAAAACCAAAACAATCTGATCAAATTTATAGAACTTTAAAATAATATGGGAAAAAAAAGATTTTTTAGGTAAAATGTAAACATAAATGACCAGCTTTTCTGCATTGCTCTGGAAAATATTTTTAATGTGAAAAGAAATACAAAATACATTAATCATTAGAAACTAGAATGACACGCAGAACAGAACTTATGAAACCATATTTAGATTCAGTAGATTAATACCAATCCTGTAAACATGGTTGATTTTTTTTTCATATGAGAAAACGCCCGATCTTAGAAAGTGTAAAGTTGAGTAGTTTTTGGGTCATCCTGCGGACAAAGGAAGATGAAAACATAAACTTGGCAATTGTATGAAAAAAGAATTCACTAATAAAAAATGGAAGTCCTTCCACCTCTTCCCCTGGATTCAGACCCCTAACCCCTACTGTGAAGGGTCCTTGAGGTTCAGTGTGAGGGAATACCAGGCATCTATTCCTGATTCACTCCATGAACTCGAGCATTCAAGTTTTAATTATACAAAGTGCAGATATGTCAGTGTGTGGCTACCAATTGTTGTTACAAGTATTGTAATAAAAGTTTTCATATGACGTATATGTCTGGAAAAGGCTCATATCAGCCAGTATCATTTTCCAGACCATCCTGTATATTAGTCAGGCTCTATTAGTAACATCATAACTTCAGATGGTGGAACCTTTGTGCCACATGTTGGGACTTTAGATACACAATTACCATAAAATAACTCCCTCATCTGCTCTGTCTCCCATTGTGTCCTCTGAGCCTCCGGGGTTCCTCTGCTCTGCTCCCTGTTGATTTGCTTATCTAAGCAGCAATTTGTTAGTGTGTGCTTAGAGCCAAGGCCTTACAATGTCATGCTGAAAATTAGATATACCCCTCGACCATGTTTCTTCCACTCCGTCTCAAGAGGTGGAAATTAGATTAACTGTTTCATTACCCCCCAAAGCAAGACTGGTTGGTGGTCTAAATTGAGCTATATACACAGTAAATAACAACAGAGCCCAATCATGTGGTTTGGTGTTCAAGTCCAGCTGTTTTATGTATTATTGATGGTTTCCCTGTTTCCTTTACAACATGTAGCGCATCTCGACTTATGCTTAACATTAAAGTGTCAACAAAAGCTGCAGGTGAAGCCTCAGAAAACAACAATCTACAATATTTACTTATAGACCAAACTATGAGAAACTAGAAGCCTCCCATCATCCATCCCACATACAGTACTTATTTAACACTACACGCAGTACACACAGACACACACAGACACACACAGACACACACAGACACACACAGACACACACACAAAAGCTATCGAACATCTTTTTTTTGTACATAGACCTCTCTCTCTACTAGCTCTCTCCGTCTACCCTGCCTAAGTTTCCATGGAAACAGGAGGTGGTCTCTCCCAGGACTGAGACAGTTACTGCGCAGTGCTGTGCTGAGCTGTGCACTAATGACATTTCAGAATAACTTTTCTTCCTTTGCTCGAGTCTCAGTCATCAACACTTACAAGCTGGAGTGTAAAGGGGACATAAAAAAGGTCCCCACAGTGTGACGACTTCTCGTGTCAAAATGACAAGCGCGCCCTGATGCAGTGCACTCACACAGCGCTCCGGATAACTGAGCTATTTTCCCATTTCTTTGCTCACCTTTTAAATTTAAGCCAATCCAAATAGTAAGCAGTGCTGCTAAATGTAAAATCCTGCATCTCAAGGTTTCCTTGAGCAGCACAGAGCACCATTGTTTGCAGAGTGTAATGATGTGTGCGCTGCACCTCAAATGGAAGCAGGGGAATTTGCTTTTTTGCAGCTCCTTTGTACAGAATAGGCCTCATGTGATTTCCATTCCCACAGGACACATGCGATTTCAACGGTGCACATTTGTTCAAACAGAGAAATATGAAAACAATACAAATAATACCTTTTGTTAAATGCAGTTTTTTAAATGTATTCCTTCCCATAAATAATTGATACACATTGATGCTTGGTTAAAAGCTGAGCCAATGCAGAGCTTTAAAAATGAAGTCTGTGTCCGAAATCACTCAATCATTCACTAACAGCTACTCACTGTATAGTAACTTCTATGTAGAGGACTTATCAGCAAAAGATAAAGAAGATTTTGGACACTGCTCGTCTTGCTCATTGTTGGCAGATGGAAAGTCCCACAGAAAATTCTAAATGTTTATTTTATACTTCTACGCTAAAAATCTGTCAATACAACGGCAGATATGAACCCGTCTGTCTTTATCCCCACGATAATTCAGATATTTCTGATAAAAGAAATGCCAGAGTGAGAAGGCTATGCTGCCCTGTCCTATCTTGTCTCCCATTTCTTTCTGTCAACACAGTGAGCGCAATGCATGATGGTATATATTACACAGTCAGTTACATTCGGTTGTCTGCTACTTTTCAATGATGCATTGTGGGAAACAATGAGGGCACTAATAGGTTATTAAAAAATGTCATTAAAGAGTTGAACAGCCCCACAAAATGGCAGATTCACAATTTAGTGGACTATGATTGGTGATTGATTTCAGACACAGCCACTGATTCTTAAGATATACGAGCTACTGTTATCAAAAAGCATGAGGGAGTACATTAAAGGTACATGCTCTGTCATGCAGTAAAGTAGTTTTAAAGTCCATATATTGGCATAATGCTAGTCTGACACCCATATATATTTTTGTCACAGTTAATATTTTATAGAATTCAGGTCATTTTAAAACAGGAAAAATAATTCTGTGTTCTCCTGAGAGCGTGAGCCATCAAACATATGGGGGGCTCTGTTCCTCATCTGTTTTTTCAGATGTTTTATTAATACACGCCACTAAGTATCACTCAAAAATAAAAGTGCAACGCCACAGCCAGGCATAATTACGTGCTGCCGGGTCCTCCATGTGCAGCGCCTCCTGCAGCCGTGACAATGGCAGATAATGATCCCTGCCCTATTTAGTTTAGACGGATGTTCCTGCAGGAAGCCAGCCTGGAAATGGACTCATGCTCTCAGACAGCATCTTCAAACCTCAATGCATTAGAGTCGCTAAGAGACACTCTGCTTTTAAGTGAGGGCTACTGCGCTGGGAGTGCCATGGGTCACTCATCAGAGACATTACACGGACATTGCTCTGTTATAGCCCCCCACTTCCTGCCCGGGCACGCACCACCACTTCAACACACAAGCGTACAGTACACAAATGGCCTCATGCGTGTACACTCACACGTAGACGGCACATCCCCCATCTTCACAGCCCACTCACAAGCTCCCCTCTCCCCACAGAGAATCTAATCACATAGAGAGATTTGGCCATATCGCCCTAACTGGATTGTAGTAATCCCCTGTCTAACATGTTTTGGGGATGTGTGAGTGGGGTTAGGGGACATCATGCCAAGTTGAGTCTGGCTGTTGATGCAGAAAGTGTGAGCGAGATCTGAGCTGTCATTTGGACCCCTGCCTTCAGGTTTGATGATGGAGTACCACTTACGGCTCAGCCCGCAGACCAAGAGAGAGAGACGTAGAGAGACAGGGAGTGGTTTGAAGTTGGCTGGAATTTTGATCTTCGTCATCATTATTCATCCTCATTTATTGCTTGCATCATCACTTTGATCAACCTGCCTTAACTGTACATCTAGTACTTGCATCTCCAGACATTATTTGTCGCTGTGTTCCCTCATCTGCTTTCTTATCTGTCATCATACACCCCTCCCTCATCTTCTTTCCAGACGTCTTTATCTCTGTGCTTCCATCTTGTTCTGCATCCATCTCCTCCTCTTTTATGCTCAATAACATTCGCAGGGACACATCCGCCTTCCCCTTTTGGCTATGACTAACGTTCCAGACATAGACAGTCCTGGACTGTTTGTGTGTGTGTGTGTGTGTGTGCGTGTGTGTGTGTTTCCATGTTTCCCATGCTACACGCCTGGTGAGGGCACATGTCCCCATGGGATCGTATAGTGCCTCCTGACTTAACATAGCTTGACTGTGTTTACACACTTCCTTACAGGACTTTGACAAGTGAGCAGAGCACTCTAAGCAGATGTCTGAGAGATGCTGACATCCTTCTCTTGTCATGCACTTACATCAATTTAGACATACATGCTTGTAGACTTAGAAGCATCCTTGTTTGCTGTTTACAGCTGTTATAAGACTTAAGCATGCAGTAGAGGCCAAGAGAAGAAGCCATTAGATAACGACCCCTGAAGCATTTACATTGTGAATGTATGATTCAAAAATAATTTAGAAATGAAAGAATGTCATGATATAGCTGCAACCTGTCATACGCTGAGGTCTGACAGTAACTGTTTTGCATTTACACAAAACGGGAGTGTAGATAATTCATTTAAGATTCTTCCTGACCAAAATTCTTCAGCGGGGCACCTGCTCTACTCCGAGAAAGTTTCCCCACTAATGCGTTTGATGTAGTGAGCTCGTTAGCTATAACCTGAAGGGAGCTGTTCTGGCTGCATGACGGGTGGCCCTTGCCAAGTGTGCAAAGCTTGGAAGTCACAACAGCTGTGGCTGGAGAGAGCAGGGGCAGTGGGTGGCGGCAGGGAAAGTGCCGGAACAGATGCCTGGGGCCAAGACCTCGAGAAAAGAGCTGGAAGACGTTAGTGGGACCAGGTTAATCATTGTGCACCAGGTCCTTAGCTGTCTCTGTCAAGTGCTTTTGCAAAAGGGCTGGTTCACCTTGGCAATACCAAAGATACATAACCAAGCTTATTTTTAGTTTATACGCTGATTTCAGATTTGGTACTGCACAAAGTAAAGTAAAACACATTAATTTGTTTTTCTGTCATTGTTAAGATCCATCCATTATCTATATAGATTATGTTTTGAGGGTGTCGAATGGAGCTGGAGCCAATCCCAGCTCACATTGGGTGGGAGGCGGTGTACACCTTGTACAGATCCCCAGTGTGCTGCATGGCCAACCTACTCACATTCACACCATTGGTTTTAGACCATTAGAGTCTCCAAAAGACCTTACCCCAACCTGCATGTCTTTGGACTGTGGGTGTGAGAAAATCCATGCAAACATGGGCAGAACATGTAAAGGGCCCTGGCCAAACTAACAATTGCACCATTGTGTTGCCCTTTTAAGACTTTTAAGCTCCTTTACAAAGTTTTATAAAGACACTATAGGAGACGTATTAAATCTACTATCAACAACTGGAAGAAAAAAAACATGCGAAATCCATACACCCTACCTGAACCAGGATTCGAACCTTCTTGAAGTAAGGCGACAGTCCTAACCACCACTCTGCTGTGCTGTCTGTAAGAGATACAGTATGTACATCCATACATGCTAATGGTAGCTGCCATAAAATGTTGAAGTCCCCATTTAATGTCTTGTTTCAGACAGCTCAGCTGAAAATCCACTTGTGGCTCAGGGCTTATTTCTCAAGTTAACACTTTGACTATAAAAGTAACTTAAAAGCTCCTCCACTCCACATACAAGCAGTTAGGGCTCTACTGCCATTTAGCCTGAGGCAATCAACTAAAAGCTCCTTCATATCTGCCATGGCATACATATGCCACTCAAAATGCAAATTATGACTTTATGGCAATTTTTATTTTGAAGTTTCCGTAGCCAGCCATTTCTCTGCCACGCTCCCGAGCCCAGGGTGTGTGAGCACAGCTCCTCGGCAGCACGGTATATAGATTACTGGACAGAGGATGCGGGCAGTGGACGCAGCGGCCATTAATTAAAGATCCACAGTGGCTCTTGTGCTGAGAGTAACAGATCCATATACAAATTAATCACCCGGTCTGAGACCCACAGTAAGGCTTTCCTTTTCCACAGCTTTACAGTCCAGTCATGTCCGCTGTTGTTTACTGTGCTCCAGATCGAGAATTAAACCTGAATGAGAGCGATAAATCATGGTGGGGAAACACACAAACTCTCATTGCAGGTTTATGTGTTGGAGGGGCAAACAGAAGGAGAGACAGGGTGAAAAAAACACCCTGCAGTCCGTTAATCAAGTTCAAAAAGATGGTTACGATGTTGGGGTTTTTTTTGCTTTTGTTTTGTTTGGTTGGCTGAAATGATAGAGGGGGCAATGATTTTTCTTTTCCCATCCTTTCTTTTTATGACCACTGCTTTATAGATAAAGGAGATTTATGATAGGAAATCCAAGGAAATGGAGAGGATACTCTTAGGGATCCCAGATTAGGCTACTAATAGACTAGCTGTTCTGTGATTAATGTGTCTTATCACCAGTCATCAGTTATTCTAAATGAAGAAAATTCTGATCCTGCCCAGATGGATAACACTAATTAGGCTAATTTCTTCATCAGGCCATCTTTAAATAGGTCTTCTCTGCATGTTTGTGTGTTTGCTGGGCAGATAGTGTGCTTTGGCATCTGCAGTCATCAGTAGGTGTCCATCTTGTAGTAGTTCAGAAAAGAAACGATAAACTTTACTCTACCGTGTCTTATTTTCTCAGGCACCATTTCTATCAACACCCTCCGTACTGCCTACACAGCCCCTGGAGAAAGTGAGATCCTGGACTTGGATGACAACCTCTACCTCGGGGGTCTGCCAGAGAACAAAATGGGGCTGGTGTTCCCAACGGAGGTGTGGACAGCACTGCTCAACTACGGCTACGTGGGCTGCATCCGGGATCTATTCATCGACGGCCAGAGTAAGGATGTCCGGCGCCTGGCCGAGATCCAGAAGGCTACCGGGGTTAAACCCTCCTGCACGAAGGAGCCTCCTAAGCAGTGTTTGAGCAACCCCTGCCAAAACAATGGGATCTGTAGAGAGGGCTGGAACCGCTATGTGTGTGACTGCTCCGGAACTGGATACCTGGGACGCTCCTGTGAAAGAGGTAGGACTTTTGGTTTACATTTTCCTCGTACTTAGCTTTTTGGAAGCATGCAATTTCTGTCTGGTAGGCAGAACCTGGATTTTTGTGTGAGAAATGTTGACAGTGCTGCCCAACGACACTTCTCCCTCCCTATGAGTTGTCTTCTGAGGTGGGCATGAGATCACAGGAGTGCAGATACAATTGACCTCAAGGGCAACCAGCAAAAAAATGGTTTTAATCATATCCAGTATTGATTTTTTCAATATTCTTGGTTGAAGGCGACCTTGTTTCAAGTCGCCTAACACCAACCCTGCAGGTGCTCTTGTTATCCAGGCTGTTGGCTGAACATCAACAGCTCTCCTGCAGCAAACTGAAAGTTTTGTAAGACAGGAACGACAAGTCTAGCGTGCGGAGCTAGACAACCAGAGAGGGGCAGGCAGGATGAGTCAGGCTACGTCAAGTGTTGACCGGCTGATGTTAGACCATGTTGAGTGGCAGGTGACTGATGCACCGCTGAGGTGCTCCTGGTCACATCCACTATTCACAGTGGCCTGTAAATTGGCTGTCTTCTGCTAACCATTTGGCTCATCAAACCACTCGGTCATGACCAGACCTGGTGCAGAATACTTATTCCACTCTCTCTTCCCGAGAAGAGAGATTTGTATAGCTCCATTCCTTAGCTGGAACACACCTGACTCTGTAGTTTTTTACAGTTTTTTTATTAATGTTCATACTCAAATAAAAAAGAACACCATCCCCATTCAGTGTTTCATATTGGTTGTGTTGGAACTCATTGCTTATAACCAATATATATGTGTGTGTTTGTCTGTGGTAAGAGCTGTATTTGCTTGAAGTTACCCCCGGAGACCCCGTCCTGCTTGCTGTATTTTGTTGATACTGTATCTGTAATGTGGCTGGAAATGAGAAGCAGCCATGAGGGCACATCTTTGCTTACGAAGGCAAATCTCAGCATGGGCCCAGTTTTCTGCCTACTCAGCATTAGCTTGCTGGCCCGGTGACCGGGTGGATTGCCCTTTGACCCCTTTGACTGAAATGTAGGCCGATTAAAACAACAACCAGCTGTGTGAGGGGGCCAGATCCTTCATGGTGTGCTCGTAGGCAATTATTCTAAAAGTGGCGCTTTATGCTTATTTACATAATTAGACATGATAAACATGTTTAATGTATAGTTTCGTCAGGACATGAAATAATCCAAGATTTTTGAGCAATGAACACCAGGTTTTAAGTCTAAGAATATGATGTATAGTATTTTTGTTGTAGTTTTTTGAGTAATTACATTTAAGTCGCCTAATGACATGTTTTATTTTGTATTTATGAATTAATAAAGGCATCAAGCAAAGTGAATATGCAATGTAGGTCTTCAGAGTGAATCTACAGTAAATATGATATCAACGCAGAATATATATATATACTTATATGTGTAGTGCTTCTCAATTGAGTGTGAGTGGCAAGTGAACAATAAACATTTAACACATGCATAATCAAACGCAAATGTCAAAAAACGAGCAGGAGCGTGTGACACCTTTATCACAGTGCGATGCATGTGCATGGGAACGACAGCCCTGGAGAGGTATTCAGTGGGAAAACATTTGTTGGAATGTAACACGTCCCACGCAGTTACATGTGTCAGCTCTACTACTGCTCGTGCTTCTCCTCCTGCACGTGAGTCATTCACCTTATAAAATATTGGAGCCTAAATATCCTGAAGCTGGGGTGTGTGGAATATGTCTGGTCGATGGGAATCTGCTGAGTCAAATGGAAACAAAACAACACAAAAGCTTGTGACACCAGAAAGATGTTGCCTTTCTTTTTTTTTTTACTGTTTATAAATGCAGTTTATCCAGTTGTGCATGTCTAATGACGTGTGACTACTCTTCTGAATGCAGAAACAGTTGAAGCTAAAACAGGAAATTAATTTTAGAAATGAAAGACTCCACGAACAAGAGGATCTAAATCCATCTCTGATGAATGTGTCAGTTAGGCATGGTTTGGCGCTGCTCAGATTTTTTCCACATGTGCATTATCCATTCTGACTAATGAGTTGACAGGAATTAGGGCACAGTACGCGAGGGAGGTGGGAGTGGGCATGGGACAAAGATCGTTTCACTCTGGGAAGATAATTACTAATCTGAAGAGTGGTCTTGAACCAAAAAAAAAAAATTATGAATCCACTCTGACATAATCTGAAAATAAAAGCAGAAAACCTACATCTCTGCTTTTAGCGAACAGCTTCACAGGAAGTGCCGCATGTTGCAGGGGTCTCCGCCACCCTGACCCCCCTCTCCTCACACACTGAGCCTCCTCCTCCGCATCTTGACTCCTCTGTCCGATTTTCTATTTTTTCTGGCTGTCTGTGCTCTGCGTATGAGACTGGCAAGAGTGTGAGTGGGAGCAGTGGTACGGAGGATGGGTCCCGGTGTGCTGCCAGCTGTTTTGATGGCTCCAGATTGCCTCTGCGCTGGTAGGATGAAGCAGGCACCAGCAGGCCGAGGAGCTGTCAAAAGAATTACCCCAGCTCTCACTTATCCATGCATGGTGTACCACCCGGTGGCAAAATATAGCTACTGCATATGGCGGAGGAGGAGGAGGACAAGAAGGGGAAGGAGCAGGAGGTGGAGTTTCTAGAAGAGAACCATGAAGCTATTCGCCCTATTTTGAGAGAATTTAATTAAGCAGACAAAGCAATTTCCCCCTTGCATCCCAAATGTCTTCCCCTTTATTGTTCCTCCAGTTGCTAATTAGCCCAAATATTAGTCTTGCAGTGTGAGGCTAAGGCAGCCTCCCAGATGGTGTAGTTGTAGGTGCGTTGCAGCACATGCACGTATTCCCTAATGAGATATGACATACTGGCTCTCAGCGCTGACAGCACCTGCATGTCTTCACATGGAGAGTGGCTGCATATACCTGTGGTTAATAAAGGAACATGCTGGAGATCAGTATATACATATATATATTATGCTCACAGTGCCACACACACACAGCTTATGTGCACATGCAAGCTCGTAGTTTTTTTTTTCCATCCACAAATTCATAGTATTTCAGTTGTAAACAGTTGTAAAATATATCGTTCCAAAACACAAACCATAGACCACAACAACAACAGAATGCATCACCACATTATGTAAATCGCCATAACTGTAGAAGTACAGGTTCTTTGAGGACATGTATTGCTTTTCAGAGCATGAAGCCATTCGCCACTGGTCCGGAGCAAAAGCCAAGAGGTGCAGGGTATTATTGCGTAATTGTGAAATGCCCTTAAAGGGGAATAGGGCTGAGTTTTTGTTGCAGTAAAACACGTTTTTAGCCGTGTCCTTTGACAGCACACTGTGTGTTAGTCACTATTTACCACACTTGAATATAGTCACACATTAGAGAGAACTGGTTGTCTCGCGCCCTTGAGCCATGAACACAGATGCGCAGAACACTGGTTGACAAACATGGAAAATCTGAATGTGAGAGTAGAAATACTAGAGAGATGATTATATGGGGTTATAGGTGCATGTTGAAGAGCAGAGGTCTGACTATGGATGAAATGAATATTCACATGTTTTATAAACCTGTAGCAAACATTTATTCAAGTGTTGAAGCTGTACATTAGAGCTTTTGATTTCAGCTTCCCACAGCTTATGATAATGGGTCTTGTTAAAAGACCTTGATAGAACAGCATCGGCCAAACACTGAAGATTAACTTGTAAATCATTAAATTAAATGGTAATTCTCCTTTAATAGTCTCAGTGGGGTGAGAAACCTAATTCGCACGTGCTAAATCTTTACCATCTTGGCTGTCCCTTGCGTTTCCTTTAGCAGTCGCTGAAGTTGCAGATTCCACCACTCTAAACGGACAAACCGATCTATTCTCTGTCTCTGCTCTCATTGCGTTGCCCTACAGATGTTGTCGTATGGTCACAGAGCATCAGATGATGGTGATGATGATGATGATGATGCTGGCCTCGTGATTCTGTTTCTTTCTGCGTCTCCAAAATCCACTCGGATGTCAGATATTTTCTTTTCTCACACATTTAATAGCCAGCAAGTCTTTTTTCTTGGCTCCTCAAAGGAGGCTGCGGTGAAGAAGACACGGGCAGCTTTGAATTATTTATGATATCTCAGAGCCAAATCGTCCTGTTTATTGTGGATGTTGAACATACATATTCCGAAAGCCTTTGGCTGTTTTTCTTCCGGGAAATGTTGGGATTGGCTTGGGCCTGGTGCCCTGACACTGTGGGACATCACAGTCTGGTGACATGCAGCTGACAGCTCTCTGAGCCTGTTAACCTTGGGGGAAGAATGCAGGAAGATTTCCTGTCTTCACGTTCCTCCATCTTGGTAGTGGCACAGCCCAAGTTTGTTACCCCACCTCATTCTCCCCATGAAAATCAGCAAACAATGTTATATTTTGCTTTATCAGACAGAGGAGGGACGGTTGGTTAAGTCAGGTATATGCTCCATCCACCTTTTGACAGCCTGTTGGGTTAGGGGGCTGGCACAGACTGAAACTCCTGCTTCAGTCCTCTCAATTTATTTTGATATTAAACATGGGAGTGCCTTTAAAAAATGACTGGGCTTCCAGGATTGGATTTTTGACAGGTGCTCACTTTGCATTAGGTAATGATTCCCTCACATGTCACCTTCCATATTTTCATATCTATCTGGAACGTTTGTTTTTTTTACATTATGGCATTTTAGACAACCTCTCTCATAATCTCAGGAGAGGTGACATCTTGGATGAAATGCAATATTTACTCCAGTTGTGATTAATTTCACCCATCTATTCAGCCTGAAAAGATTATTCATGAAATAAATAATTTAGTAAAATGTTTTTATTTATATGCAGCACCGTTTAAGGTCATTTCTCTTCTTACCTTGATTCTCAGTAGGTATTTGTTTTTATAATAGAGGCAGTCACTTGACCAGACCTCGTCCTCAGTTAGTAAGTAGCGAAGCAGAGATGACGCAGTTCACTGTAAGATTGTCTTTCTTTTAGTTTTTCTCGCTTTTTTTACCTTGAGCTTTTTTTTCACAAGTATAATAGATCCTTTTTCAGACAGGAATTTTAAAAGGAGCAGGGTTTAAGCTGGAGTAGGAATTCTATACAGTGCAGCACTCAGATCTGTCACTCATTGTTTAGCAGAGATTTCACATCCCATCTTCCCAGCGTAAACATACACCACAAACTATAGACAGCGACTGTTTACTTCAATACAGCATGAAGTGACGATACATACTGAGAATGAGTGAAATGCAGTGGGGGAATTCTCTCGACGGGTCTAAGTGCTGGCTAATGTTACAGTGACAAACATTTTTTTTTGTCAGTATTAGGTGTTTGAACAGTTGCTCCATTTTTCTTGGCATCTGCTAACAGTTGCTCCATTTTTCTTGGCATCTGCTAACAGTTGCTGAACATGGCTCTTTGCTTTAGCTGCCTGGCAGGGAGCAGTTTAGCAGCGAGAACTCGTTTGTCACACGCCCCTGTCATCTGCAGCGTACCCCAGGAGGGCGTGGAGAAATTGGATTTGGGTGAGGAATGTGACGGAGTCGTCCCAGGGGATGGATGTGACATTGGCTCTGTGTGACGAGGAAGTGGTGATGAGGTGGTGTGTGTGTGTGTTTGTGTACATTGGGACCCTATCACCCCCACCACCACACTCCTGTCCCTCCAACTACTCACCCTTCTATCTGTTGCGGCTCTGCAGCTGCAGTAATGGCTTTGTTATTGGGTTTTGGTTTAGTTACACTACCGGAAATGCTGTTACAACCTCCTGCCAGCGTTAAACACTCTCCCCAGCGTTTCTCCAGACGGCTGCCTAATGCTTTGAGTAAATGCAGTCACCCTGAGCAGAAGCTCAATATTCAAGGTCTGATTCTGTCACAGTTTTTTCTCCTCAGTCAATACCAATTTGTCCCTTTTGTAGTTTGCCACTATTATACAGCTGATATAAAAAAAACGGATGCACAGCTGCCGCTTGTTCTCTAGGAGGGCATTACATTACCTTTACTCCTTTTACAGTAGGACATTTATCCGTGTCATATATTCCATCGTCTTATGAGTGTTTATTCTACTATGTACATGTACCTACCTCAATACTCTTCATTGAGGGAAGCCACCATTTAAGCTGTCACAGAGAAGACAGGGCTGAGACTAAGGAGGGAAGGAGCTGGAGTACCTGGAGAAAATGTACATAGACAGTGGGAGAACATGCCAACTCAAACAGAAAGAACCCTGCGAAGCTGGGATTTCAAACGGGATCACTCTGAGCTAACCACTGACTCACCGTGTCACCCCCAAACCTGATTATTGTTTGTACCTGTCCTGACCTGTTGGGACTCAGTTGGGCATCCACACTCTAGTGCACATGCATTTAGGCATCACTTATTCTTTCTTTGCTGTATTTTTAATTTTACAAGTTGGATTCATTAGTTGTCAGCAGTCTTTACTTAACAAAAAAAAGACATGTCTGAGTCATTGTCCCTGTGTCCGTCAGCTCCATGGTTCAATCCTCCCTCTGTGGATGCACCGGATGCTGGAGGACGAGTCAGTCTGTAAAGGTTGCTCTGCAGTAGGCGTATCTCTGTGCATTTTTCTAACAGAAACACAATCCGCTCTCTCCCTGTGTGTTTGGTGACCTCTGAATCACGGGTCTGTATTTGAATACATAATCACTACTTCACATCTTCCCCTCTAATGTATTTCTTTGCTCCAGCACTAAATCACATCCACAAATAAGACATCATTTTGAACTGAGCTGACAGAGCCAGGGTCACCGATTTACCATGAAAACCTCTACTCTCCATTTTACCCATCCCTTATCTCGTTTTCTTCTTCCTTATCCTCCCTGCAGAGGCGACGATCCTCAGCTATGACGGCAGCAAGTTTATGAAGGTCCAGCTGCCAGTGGTGATGCACACAGAAGCCGAGGACGTGTCTCTACGCTTCCGCTCCCAACGAGCCTACGGCATCCTAATAGCCACCACGTCTCGGGACTCGGCTGACAGCCTGCGTCTCGAGCTGGAGAGCGGGCGCGTCCGCCTGACTGTCAATTTAGGTAACGCCTCGGACACTCACTGGCTGCTGCGGCAGAGTCACGTGTCAGACACAACAAAATTAAGCTTGATAACAGTTTCAAACACACATTGCCACATACTCTCTCACTCACTCACAGACACAGCTATTATTTTCATATCATACACACTTTGAATAGAAGGAGATGGTGTAAAGACTTTCAATGGCAAGAGTCTGCGGCTCTGCGCTCACTGCCAGTTGAGCACACAGCTACTGTTGCCCAGCAGGGAATGCTCGCTGCCCAATCCATCAACTAACCCCAGATCAACATCCATACATGTTATATTGCTCTGAGGGGAGTTTGCCTTACATAGTGCGTGCACACACACACACACACGCTCACAACCATTTTCTTTCCTTGTGTTGTTTTTATTTTGAATAGATCTGGTTATCGTTCATAGGAGGAAGCTATTAAATCTTCTGGAGAGGAAGTTGTGTGTTTTTAATATCAAACCCCCTCTCAGCTCGTGGTTACATGAGGCCCCTTAGTTGCACCCACACACTCATTTGTTCACCTCTGCACTTTAATTATTGTAGGGTGGGGAAAATGCATGATTGCCAAGGAAATCAGCAAATGTGTCCTAAATTAGCACGAGGAAAAAAGACATGCCGCCACCCCTCCCCTCCGCCTTACGCAAAAACAGAAAATCGAGGATGGAATTAAATATGCGGCGTGCATGTGTGTGTGCGCACTTATTTGCTCGGGACAGGATTCAATGATGCCTGTGAAAAGTTTGATCTCTCTCAAACAGAGCAGTGCCGCATAAATGATAGTCATCTATTTCTCCTTTCCACTGGCTAAACAGAGATGGGCTCCCTAAGCGGACCCGTTTAGCCATGCATACAAAGCAGACAGTCTGTGTCTGCTCTCAACCACCAGGAAGCACGTGTCCCGCCTCGATAAGACAGTGACGAGGCTCACAAGTTAGATCATTGCAACACCAAAAACAGATGCCTTCTGATTAAGGCAACAGGTCACCGTGTTGTTTTTTATTTTTGAATTATCTTTGACGTGTTATTAGAGGTCTATTTTTCTTTTACTTCTTCCCGTAGCCATCAGATCTCGAAGCCCCTGTCTTTCTTGTCCCTCCTTCAAAAAAAAGCAAGAGCATTCCCTGTGAGGCTGGTGGCTGGTGTTGGTCTCTGGCTGTTTGCGACCACTTTTCTGCTGTGGTTGACAACACACGACAGGCAGGGCCAAATGGGAAGGAAGAGAGGGGAGTTTGATCTGGGTCACCTTTCTCTGAGCACGACACAAGCTAAGCCTTAGGAAACAGAGAGGTAAAAAAAAAAAGAGACAGAAATAGTGGCAGTCTACAAGGCACTGCTGTGTGCTAGAAGATTAGATTGCTATTGTACTGGCAGAGATGACGACTAGTCCATCATTAGTTGCTACTACTGCTGCTGCTGTTTGTTTCCACTTGTCTCAAAAGGTGGGAGAAGTATAAAAGTATCAACACCATTATTTTAAATACAAAATTTTCATCATTCTAAATCTCACTTTGGAAATTTTGCCTTAAAGGTTTTACTTAAGTACGTCTTACTATTGTTACCTTATCAGAAAAAAAAAAAGTTAAAATACACAAAATGGTCCCTATTACAAGATATTGTTATCAATATTGGTTTGTTTACATATTAACCAATGCAGTAACATGTGTTTTATATTGTAGAGGGTAGTAAAATGTATATAATAATAATGCATCATATTTTATAACCTGATCATATGCTTTCCATATGAAATTATAATTTGCAGAATAACACATAGCTCTAGCTGTCAGATAAATGCAGTGGACTAAATGTATAAAGACAGATAGATGGATAGATAAGGATAGACAGAAGTGGATACAATCAGAAACACCTTCCACTTGGCCCTGTCTGACCCTGACCAAAATCTGATGCTCTCATACTGAACAGACGATCAAATCCCACAAATTAACAGAAATCTCCCAGCATGCACTCAACATTGTTTGGCTACAGGGGAAAAACAAAACGAACAATGTCATATAACTGGACGTCAGCTCCAATGGCTCCAGACTTTACATGGCTTTATTGATGCAGGCCACGCTGTGCTCCTCTGGCACTGCTGCATTGCCGAGCTCTGACCAGCTCGCAGGGGCCACGAGTGAGAGCACCAGAGGACGGACAGGGTCTGTGTGTGTGTCCCCAGAGGGGTGGACTGTGTGTTTTAATGATGTCTGCAGCTGTAACGTTGAAAGATGAATTTATCTCTCATCTATTCTTCCCCATCTAGATTGTGTCAGGATTAACTGTACCTCCAGTAAGTCACTGTTCACCTTTTCTTCTTCTTCTTCCTCTTCTTCGTCTCTGACTCTGTTTCTGGACATGTCATGTTTTAGCTGTGTTGTTTACAGTTTCTTCCCCCGCAGCCAGTTTATGATCTCCACATTAAAGTATCCTAAAGCCGAGGAGTTTAATCAGTGCACTGGAATATATCTGACTTGCACCTTGCATTGACATAGACATTACATTTTATCATACCAATTCAAAGAGTTATGGGTACATAAGAATTGCATGATGCTGCTGCTGCGTGCATCAGCTGTCCTGGAGAATAATAAGCATGAGGGGAGGAAAAGGAGGGAGGCTTGAATTAATGACAAACCCAAATATGGCAGCGATTCTACACACCGAGTTGTTTCTAATTAACGAACCTTTTCACTCATGTATTCAGGCTGATATAAAACGCATGATTTGGAAGCGCAGGCATTTCAGACATGCACGATTCCCTTGTCACTCCCTCACATTTTTTTTGTCCCTCTCCTCTTCAGTATTTCACGGCGGTTGTAAAGTGATGAGGCCATTCAAGGCGCAGAGGAAATACAGAGTGTGATTTTATTATTCTCATTAACCTGCCTCACAGAGCAGAAAGAAAGGGATGAAGAGGGAGGAGAGAGAATAGGTCTTGTTGTGGGATTGACTGTGCATGTGCGTGTGTGCGTGTGTGCGTGTGTGTGTGTGTGTGTGTGTGTGTGTGTGTGTGTGTGTGTGTGTGTGTGTGCGTGTGCGTGAGTGTGAGTGTGTTTGAACAAAGAGGTTACATTGCAATATTTTGGGAGGTAAATATCCCTGACATTTATTATTCAGGAACAGTGATGAATTAATAATTACTTCTCCGGTGTCATAATACGTGAGCACTCTTCCTGTTTAACGATTCTGAATTGACAGACACGCTCTCAGTATCAGTAAATACCAACAGAAATTAGACAGTTTAGCCTCAGTGATACACTGCCAGTGTCACATATTGTATAGAAGGACGAGTCGTTCTCTGAGCATGAGTCTCTGATCTTTTGGTGTGTGAAGTCTTAAAGTATCTGAAGGTCGTTGCCTGATGAGAAGCGGAGACTTCCACAACAAAAACGCCCCCGCAGACAATCACATGATGTGACCTCTAGCGAGCCCTTCTTAACACCTTTCTAAATGCTAAATAGCATTGTTCATGCATCTTGGATTGCATCCTTTGTTTGTGTATGCAAATACAAAGCTTTAAGGTCTAATTCCCTTCCTCCGGTGCTTTAAAAGGTCATTCTTAGCTTATGGGGATGGTATGAAGGCATAATCTGTGCATGCCTGGATTCCACTGCTTGTTATTTGCTACTTTGATTACTTTCTTTCTATAATTAATAATTTTCTCAGCTAATATTACCCGATAGATCTCAGCAGTGTTATTCCAGAAGGAAAAAACCCATTAATTTTCTGCATAAAGGTTTTGATTATCAGCCATAATATTGTAACAGTCCCAGGCAGACTGAGCACCAGCCACGAGATTGTGAAACAATGTTATAAGCTCCTGAAGAAGCCACAGGTCTGTATATCAACTGTATTCGGAGAAATATGTGTTTTCTTCCCAATGTTAAGGAGAAGTACTACACTACCCACAATCCTCAGGTGTAATAGGCTGTGATAATGGGGGTTGCTGTTACCATGGAAACATCCATCACCATGAAATATCGGCTACAATCGGATGGTTCATTGTTACATTACGTTAACCACAGAGCAAGATTAGGAAAACATTCTGAAGGAGTGAAAGTCTCTACAACAAAGTTGACTTCAAGAAGTCATTGGAAAGGGAGTAGTCAAAAAGGTTTATGGGATACATGATTCCTTAGAATTATTTTATCGAGTTTTGTACCTTTTACCTTATTTTTGTTGCTGCTCCAAATCAAATGTTTTATGATTCATTGGTGGCTGGTCATTGGTGGTTTCAGGCTTCCACTTCATAAGGATTTTCTTAAATGTCAGTGGAAAAAAATACTGGAAAATTGTCTTCTAGAACCAGAGCCTTTCTAAAAGTGGCTGGTCACTGTTACAGTCCATATCCCTTAATATCAATTTAGTTCTGTGCATCATCTTTTAAAAAAAAAAGCTATTGCCAGGTTCAGCATTAGTGGCTGGTTTAAGGAAAACATAATAAAATAGATGATCTTTAAGATATTCACCAGGGTCGATTCAATAGTTGCTTTAGTCACAAGCATCAAATGGTATAAATAGGTTGCATGTAGAGTTTGTTAATTGGCTGGATGTTTTCACACAGGCTGTTAAAAATTACTACACAGCATTAGCCTGTTTCAGCTTTTAACAAACGTCATGTTGACGTGTTATTAATGGACTTAATTCTGTTTGTGTACATTTTCTTAATTCACTTTGCTCTTATATTTAACCTGCAGTCACATACAAAACAGTCCTCAGAATTGTTGTCACATGATTAAGCTGCTATATAATTCGTGAAGTGAAATTATTTTGATTCTATCAACATTTAATATGCAGCAGAGAAAGTGGAGAGAAAAAAAGCAGGTCTTTCTTTAATAGATCCAGACCTAATTGTGCCGTAAGAAAATGTTTAATGAACTTCTTTGAAAGAAGTGTATTAAGCCAGTGTGTGCATTTTCACTTATAAAGAGTTGGCATTTAATTAGATTTTTTTTCTTCTAGGTTGTTATTTTTCTCCAAGTTATTTTTATCCTCATTTTTTTTCAGTGTTAATTAATGTGTCTTGTCAGGCGCTGCAGCTCCGGTCAGCTTGGTGGATGAAGAATTTCAGTAGCAACTCAAAGAACACATCACTGTCTATTAGGGACCTCGGCTCCCTGGGGCTGCCCAGAGCTGTCTGAAGAAAACACTGCCACTTCGACTTAAAGACTGTTAACAGGCACTGAGTGACAAGAAACTAAAAATGTGATCTAAAAATATCTTGTGACAGATTCCATGATGGACTTGTATTATTCATTTACTTCAACTGCAGGATAATCACAGTTTAGATTGTTGCCAGAATGCAGAGATGAGGGTAACTCAATGTGGTGATTCTCTATGTGACCTTCTTGAGCAGTTTGTCTCTCATAATTGATCTTTTACACGCATCAATCTTTCATTTTTGACCTATTCAAGAGATGCAGGGGAATCTTTTTCATGGATATTACACCAGTGTCCATGTTTGAATGATAGACGAGAGGATTTAAAGGGAGGGTGCTTAGGAAACTTGCTCTTATCTGCCAAAAACTGATTTTTATTAGCTAATGCACTTTGATCTTGTGGTTAGTATGAAAAAACATTTTCCTCATTACTAATGTGGATGCTATACATTGAGTACCGCTAAAATACGAGCTAGAAAGCAAACGTTTATTAAAATACCACTTTTTTTTTCAGTGGGCCACAAAAATCTATGTGGTTAGTAAACAGATAAAACATTAGACATTAAGTTAAATTGACATGAACATGAACACTGGTAAGATGCAAAAATCGTGTGTTCAGAGCAGTAGTCTAACTCTTACCAGATTAAAATACTGATAGAGAATGCCTGACCCTTTGCTGCGTGTCTTCCCCCATTGTCTCGCCGCATTTCACGCTTACAACAAAGGAGAAATGCTCGAAAAGTATATTTAAAAAATTCCCTTCCCTTTATAATCTAACACTGATCTTTTTTGGTGCACCTATTTTCATGCAGCAAATCTGACTGCTCACATAAGAACATAAAATATCTTCCTCTGGCTCCAAAAAAAGTAGACTACTCTACCCTTCAGGAACAATAAACCACCACCAATATACCATGGAGTAAAAGCAGTGAGGTGCTTCAGAATACAGAGTAATTACGATGACGTTCTCTTGTGTTTGCTATCAATTAGTTCCACGAAGAGGCTGCAGAATGTCAGCCGAGCAGTCCTTGTTTACAACATGAGCAACTTAAATGAAGAGCTGAGAATAAACATTGAACATCCTCCAAAGTTGCAGCGTGGCTGAGGGACTCTCCTGTCATGCCAGCAGGTAGTTAACATGACATGATTACGCAGTCGCTGCTAAAAATACTCACATCTCAGGGAAGCGATGGCAGTTAGATCGAGCAACAACCCTTCAGCGTGTTCGTGCGGAGCAGCCTCGGTTTGTAGCACAAATGCAAAGAGCATGAAACAGCAGTTTATTTATTGTTTTGACACTATTTAACCTCCGCTCGCTAAAACATTTTCTCCATAGGTTTTTCAGTTAGCAATGCATTGATTGGACAAGCAGGTCGTCTATCGTGGCAGCATGCTTTCCTTTGCGGCAGCTTTGAAGTGTGTGCTGATGGTAGCGATGGCGGCGTGCTGCTTCGTCAGCAAGATTTCTTTTTTCTTTTTTCCTCCACCTGAGTGAGTCACAGTGTCGGAGCAGGCAGCACCAGTATCAGGCCTGTCATCCAGCCCAGCCAGAGCTGATTGACTGGATAATCACATCTTCTCATGCTGCCCCGTGCCACACTTCTCCACTGTTCCCCTCGGGGCCTGAAGTCAATGAGGCAGGGAGAGATCACTGTAGATCCATCACAGCAGATAGATCACCATCAGTGAGGGCACTAGAGAGGGCCGGACGCAGCAGACAGTGGACTGAAAGCCCTTCTTTTAAAACGTAGGACAAGATGGTGAATATCCCTTGTACGTTTGAACAGGTTTGATGATACATTGCCCACCACCAGTAGTTGTCAGGGATCACCAGTGGATGCTAAGGACATATCACCAGTTGTGTACCCTATTATCATCAGACCCACCACATGCTGATCAGACCTGGGTGTATGCCTTTAACATCTTGGGACCCATTTGGGCCCTCCTCCTGATCCATGACGATTGGTCCATGGATTCCTCACTGATGGTGGATGTTGCAAGAAAGCCCTTGCAGCCAACCTCCACTAGCATACCATAGCTTTGCCATCTCGGCAGACTGCAGCCGCTCATCATTCACCACATCAACAGCATCCAAGGTAGACAACACCCTGCGTGTTGGACCAGAGTACCAGGTCTGCCAGGTTCTAGTTTGAACAACAGAACTGCTCAACAGGTGTAGAGCCAGTTGCTACAGTTGTGGATGTGGTGCAGGAATGCGGTTGCTTAATATGATTGACCTCCACACCTTTTCTTTCTTTTCCTCCTTGAAGGGAAGCAAGGACGGGATGATGAAAGGCAAAGATCAAGCAGGCAGTCCAACTCCTTCTCATTATTTCATATGGCGTCCTTAATCCTTCACAAGTCGTCTGGTTTCCATCCTGCCCTGGTGTTTAGTGCTACAAAGCAGAATTGTGCCTCTGCAATTGAGTGTGTCCCGCTACTTTGGCACCCTCAGATTTGCATACACATTGCATAGGGGGCTTTGAAGATTGCAGGAAACGGAGGAAATAAATAGCCATATATGGGGTTTCAGGAGAAAGAACCTGGCGCCCATCTGAAATGCTCCCCACAGTGGGTAAGGAGTCTGCTGCCAGGGAATTTGAAAGCTGTCACAGTGGTTCAATTCTCAATGGTGTGTTTGGTTATGTGTGCCCTGGAGGGGAACGTCACAGCTACAGCATATAGCAATTCAAAGATGCTCTAAGATGGAGGCTGCATGGGGAAAAAAATGTGTGTCACCCCAGTTGGACCTTTGTAGGAATTTCTAAATGCAGAAATGTGTCTGGGGATAATTGTTTTTCTAGTGCTCATAAGATCATTAGGATTCATTAAAGTCACAATGCCGTATCTGTGATTTCAAATTTGATTATGCAGAATAATATTTAATTTTGCCACAGTGTGATTCCGTGTGACATCTTCATTACGACTCGCTGGCAGTGACACATGTCATAGAATATTAAGTTGCTGGGTTCAGGATTCAGTGAAGGAATGATCCAGAGATTTAAAGTATTGTTATTCATTAAATAATATTCAGTTGAACGTTTTGTTATTATATATAAATATATAGATTTAATGATTCCTGAGTTAATATAATGTGGGCAGGGTTTCTACAGTGTTAGTGCAGCTTCATGTCTCCTTTTAGCTTTCCTCAAATCCTCATTCATTGTCAAAGCTTCAGACGAAAATCACATTCTGTATTTCCTGCATTTTCCAGTGACAATGGCCTGTCTCTTTTTTTTCACCACCAGACACACTGCCTCTATTATGCAAGAATTGTTTTCCGTATCATTATTTCATTTCATTTGATGGACATGAGAGAAATCGAATACTGCGTTGCACTGTCGGTAGGTAAACAGGAGGGAGAGTGATGTTCAGGTTTAAGTGTCTCACTCTGCTGAAGCCGTTTGGTAGTTATTTGCTGCCACCAAGTGGCTTGATGGGAAATAAAACATTAGAAACGAGAGAGCGACTCTAATGAGGAGTCAAATTATCCCCTGTTTCTCAAGTGAAGTAAAACCACACAGACAGTATGTGCACTAACAGAAGAACAGTCAGAGTTGGTAATAATAATGTGACCTTAATTACTGCCTCCCTCCTTGTGTGATGAAAACAGTGTTCAGTATGAATTGGTAAATTTCGATTCTCTGTCTAATGGTGCAGTGCAGCAAATGTAAGTCAGAATGATGTGTTTTTCTGCACCATTAACTATGTTTACCTTAATGTTTTCTGTCTCTGTCAAACTACTTAACTCATTCACACTGTCCTCCTTTCGGTTTATATCTCCTCTCTCTCAGCCTCTCTATTATGTGTGTGTGTGTGTGTTTGTGCATGTGTGTTAACCGCTGTTTGGACTGTCCTGCAGGCAAAGGTCCAGAGACTATATTTGCGGGTCAGAATCTGAACGATAATGAGTGGCACACGGTGCGTGTGTTCAGAAGGGGCAAGAGTTTGAAACTGACCGTAGACGATCTGCCGCCTGTAGAAGGTACTTCACACACCCTCTGCTCCTCTGACAGATACTGTGTTTTTCCTCCTGTTAATTTAAATAACACGTAACATGTCTCGGCCTTCGATGTTTAACATTCTAGGTAAGACACAAACTCTTTCACAGAATACAACTTCTCAGCCAACATGATTTATTGATATCAGTGTTTATGTAAACTTTTCTTATAGGAAAAATAATGCAAAAAGGAAGTGTATTCCTGTTTACATTTAACATAAGATACAAATATCAGTGCTTGCTGATATGAAAACTTTTATTTT